CTTTCCCAGGATGGATGACTGGAATTGGGGTTCCCAATCTCTTTCCCAGGATGGATGACTGGAATTGGGGTTCCCAATCCCTTTCCCAGGATGGATGACTGGAATTGGGGTTCCCAATCTCTTTCCCAGGATGGATGACTGGAATTGGGGTTCCCAATCCCTTTCCCAGGATGGATGACTGGGATGAGGGTTCCCAGGTCCTTCCCAGGATGGATGAGGGGTTCCCAATCCCTTTTCCCTCAATGGATGACTGGGATGAGGGTTCCCAATCCCTTTCCCTCGATGGATGACCAGGATGAGGAGTTCCCAATCCCTTTCCCAGGTTTCCCAGCCCCTCTCCCCCCCTGTTTCCCAGCTGAGGGGCAGTTCCTTACGGGAGATGACGCTGTCCATGTACTGGGGCAGGTAGGGGGCCCAGGTGTCGATGGTCTCCTTGCGGCCCGCCTGCTCGATCCTGCGCAGCTCGGCCAGCAGCAGCGCCTGCGCCGCCTCCCGCACCTGCAGGGCAGACACAGCCCAGGGTCACAGCAGGGCACAGACACAGCCCAGGGTCACAGCAGGGCACAGACACAGCCCAGGGTCACAGCAGGGCACAGACACAGCTCCTGGGGTCACAGGAGGGCACAGACACAGCCCAGGGGTCACAAACACACAGGCACCAAGGTTTAGAGCCATTCCTGACAGGGTTAAACCGGGCTTTAACTGGGAACTCTTCCAGCAGGACTCTTCCAGCACAAAGAGTTGTGATGCGTTCAGTTTTAGCTTTCATGCTTTCCACATTCTGCACTGGTGTGTAACTCTGAACTTCATATGAAGGTTCCCAATCCCTTTCCCAGGTTTCCCAGCCCCTCTCCCCCCCTGTTTCCCAGCTGAGGGGCAGTTCCTTACGGGAGATGACGCTGTCCATGTACTGGGGCAGGTAGGGGGCCCAGGTGTCGATGGTCTCCTTGCGGCCCGCCTGCTCGATCCTGCGCAGCTCGGCCAGCAGCAGCGCCTGCGCCGCCTCCCGCACCTGCAGGGGGTGTGTAACTCTGAACTTCATATGAAGAGTTAGCAAGTTCTCTTCAGAGTTCAGTCACATAAAACAATCCTTTTCCAGCCCCAGCACCAAGGACCATCGCACCTTCAGGCCCATGAAGGACAAACAACAGGGAATAGAGAAGAGCAAACTGGAGGATGGGACTGCATCACCTGGAGCTGGAATTGGACAATTGATCCCCATATGGAAATGGACCAAAACTTAAAAAAGGATGAAAACTCGTGACCTGGAGTGCAGCGCAAGGTGTATCCACTGAGGCCTTTTAATAAACCCCTACTTTACTCCTTTAACTCTGTCCAGGCATCATCTCTCAAGGCATCAACCCCAGAGGGTCACAAACCACACAAACACACAGACTTCACGCTGTTCCTCACAGGGTTAAGGCGGGCTTTAACCACACAACATCCCTAAGAACTGCAGGATGCCTGCTGGCAGTGAACTGGGTGGGTGTTTCACGCATTCAGCCCCAAGCAGGCTGAGCTCACCTCCAGGCAGCGGTCCTGCCACCTTCGGGCCAGCATCTCCAGCAGCGGCGGCCGGAACTTCTCCAGCCCCAGCAGGTCGGGCAGCATCACGCAGTGCATGGCAGCCAGCTGGCTCCAGCCTGCAGGGAGCACAGGCAGTGAGGAACCCAGCCCCTGCTCCTGCTGCATCCCCCAGGCACGGCAAACCCACCCCTGCAGCGGCCTCGTTTAATGGTATGCAAATAAACCAAGCACAGTTGGCCTGCCAGCCCGCTTTTCCACCTGAATCTTTATTTGTTTTTAATCCAGGTGGATTCCTGCTGCAGCTCTGCGTAGGTAAAAGCAGGAGAGAAATGCAGAGTTCAAATGAGACAGCGTGTAAAAATATCCCTTGTGTTCAAATCAACGGCAAAACTCAGATTTGAGTGGCGTGAAACTCGGTTAAAAGGCTACCCCAGGTACCCCGTGTCCAAAGGAGAAATCAAATGAAAATAACAGTGAGAAAGGATTTTAGCTGAAGTAAAGGACAAGTAGAAAAGTGAGGAAGGAATACCTTCGTTGACTAAGAAACAGGAATGGAAAGCAGAAGTGTCAGAGTGGCCAGATTCCGTGCTGGAAGCAGCAGCAGGAGCAACTTGCAGAGGAAAGAAGAAATAAAAGAGAGAAAAAAAAAAAGAGGGAAGTGAGGAGAGCAGCAGCAGAAAACGGGTTAGTATCACTGCAGAATGGAAAACAAGGGGAGGCTGTGATGATCTTCAACTTAAATGTTCAACTTAAAAGCTTCAAAATAATATTCAACTCAAAATAATATCTAAGTTAATGAGAATTTCAGGTTTTCCAAGAAGGAAGAGGCACACATGCAGGAGACAGTGAGAGAAACTGGGATGCTTTGAAAAGACCAAAATACATCTAAATTAAGTGATTTTAAACGTGTTTTTAGGCAGGTGGCTTTGGTTTGACTTCACACTTGACTGGAAGTTAGAAACCCAGGAATTTTGCTGCTTCTCCCTGTGCTTTTCCCATATTTCCATAGATTTGGAAGTAGTACTGTGCACCAAAGGGCCAAAAAATAAACCTTAATCAGCCCAAGCTGCCCCGTCTGTCACTCCAAGATGTCCAGGATGAATTCCTGAGTTCTGGCTGGAATTTAACTTTGTTTTAAATGGACTTCTGGGCAAAAAATGTAACTCTTTACCACAGAAATGCCAAAAAGCCTAAAGGAGAAGGACACAACTTCAGGCCTGGAACCCAAGAGACATCTATTTTGGAAACTCCCATTTCACCAAGATGGAAAAAAAACCTCCCATTTCACCAAGCTGGCTGGAAAAGACCTGGGAGATGATCAAATCCACCCCAGACTGAAACTAAAGCTTCACTCCAGAGTTTTTTGCCTGGCTTTGCTGGAGTTTCTCTCTCTTTTCCAACGTGAGGAGTTCCAGCCAGCCAAGGAGTGATCCTGGCACTGAGCTGGGATCATTCCCCCGGAAACTTTGGGATCATTCCCTCAGAAACACTTTGGGATGAATCTGTAGAGCCTTTAGCTCCAGGCTTTAAAGCCTCCTGGAAGCCAGGATGTTTGGAAAAATGTAACTCTTTACCACAGAAATGCCAAAAAGCCTAAAGGAGAAGGACACAACTTCAGGCCTGGAACCCAAGAGACATCTATTTTGGAAACTCCCATTTCACCAAGATGGAAAAACCCTCCCATTTCACCAAGCTGGCTGGAAAAGACCTGGGAGATGATCAAATCCACCCCAGACTGAAACTAAAGCTTCACTCCAGAGTTTTTTGCCTGGCTTTGCTGGAGTTTCTCTCTCTTTTCCAACGTGAGGAGTTCCAGCCAGCCAAGGAGTGATCCTGGCACCGAGCTGGGATCATTCCCACGGAAACTTTGGGATCATTCCCTCAGAAACACTTTGGGATCATTCCCTCAGAAACACTTTGGGATGAATCTGTAGAGCCTTTAGCTCCAGGCTTTAAAGCCTCCTCGAAGCCAGGATGTTTGGGAGCACTCGAAACAGGATAAAAATTCTTTGTCAGGGAATGATGTCAAGGCAGAATCAGCGTTTTGTGGCGGTTCTTAACCAAGTCCTAATGCCCAGTAATTTCATGGACATTAACACTACGTTACCGCATTGCTCCGTCCTCCCATGCAGTCACTTTATCTCTGGACAACAAGGTGTTAAATTCAGCACAACGAGCTGCTGTAACAGACCCGAGGAAGCGCTTTTTACCTTGTTTGATTTGCCCTTGCGCTGCGTGGCTGGACACGGGAGGGGCCGGCTTCACCTTGGCCATCTCGGGGGTGCCCGGCCTGGGTGGCCTAAAGGTGAGACATCCAGGGAGAGACACATCAGCTGCAGCAGCCCCAAAGGGAGCCATCCTCTCCGCCAGCAGGCAAACCCCCCCAAAATCCAGCTCCAGACTCCCTGCCGTACCTGGCGGGGCCTTTCTTCATGTGCTCCCCGATGAAGGTGGCGTTGGTCATGCTCATCAGCGTGTTGGCCAGCGAGATGACGGACAGCAGGTGCTGCGTGGTGACGGCCCGTGACACGCCGTAGGTGCCCTTCCCCAGGCCCTCCGTCACCGACATCTTCCTGCCCAGCTCCTGCAGGGCCGCCCTGCCCACGGGCTGGTTGTAGCCGGGCAGCATCAGGGACATGTGGCCGCCCCGCGACAGGAGGCCGAAGGACACGGAGCAGTGAGGCTTCAGCATGCCCAGGCGGTCCAGGCAGAGCTCGTCCAGCACCGAGTTCAGGCCCCAGGCGTGCAGGCAGGACATGAAGAGCTTGGCCGTGTCCATGGTGAGGTTGTACTCCAGCAGGGTCAGCTGCTTGGATTTGCTGGAACGATATTCCGGGTCTCCCTCTTCTCTCCTCTGCCTCGTGGCTTCTTCATCCTCGTCCTCGTCGTCCAGGAGGTGCTCCTTGATGTTCTCCTTGATGGTTTCCTTGACCTGCTGGAAGAGCACGGCGGCGCGCTTGCCGGCGAGGAAGGAGCCGCCCTTGTCGGCGCCGCCGGGCGCTTTCCGCAGGCTCTCCGGGGACACCGGCGCCGCGCTGGGCCGCGCCGCCTCCTCCGTCAGCAGCTGGATGATCAGCGCCTCCACGTCGAAGAACAGCACGTGGATGTCCGGGTCCGTCAGGTTCGTCTTGATGGCCTGAACCATCAGGGAGTTGTGGGAGTATTTGGGTAAGTTCCCCTGCAAAGCGAGAGAGCGAAATGGGATTTTCAGCAGGGAAGCTGCGGATGAGGCAAGTTTGGAACGCAGCCACAAAGCACAGAAATTCAATTTACAGGTGTTTGTAGGTAAAGGGAGCTCTCCAGGTGAGACACGAGTTCACACTTCCTTCTCCTCAACCCTGTGAGACTGCAGTTATATTCCAAGCAACAGCAAAACTGTAATTAAGCTTAGAACACATTAAATATTTCATATTTGGAGGGTAAACTTGGATCAATATGTGCCACTGCAAAAGCAGCAGCTCAGATTCACCCAGACCTGCAATTACTGCACCACTTGGTCACTCCCATTCACTCCATCCTCTTCCTCCTTCCCTCCCTCCCTCGCAAGGGAGGAGGCAGGGAATGAAGGTGCTGAGGGAAAAAAGCTGAAGAATGTCAGAAAGGAGACTGGAAACCAGAACATTCCCATCAGCTTTTAAGCATTAATCTCCCTAACCCCTTCACTCCCAGCACCCTCAGTGGATGAGGAGGCCCGGATCCAGCAGGAGCAGCAGCAGAAACCCTGAGCAGACGCTGGTGGTGATTTCTCTCCCAACAGAAGGTGAGAGCACAAGGCAAAGACAGGGATGCACGGGAGAAGCTGGGAATGGAGCTCTGCTGCTCTCTGCTGGCCACAGGCTGTGCCAGGGGAGCTCTGGGCCGGACACTGGGAACAGCTCCTCATGGAATGGGCTGTCCCAAGCCAGGGCAGGGGTGCAGACCCCACGCCTGGGGGGAATTAAAGCCGTGGCATAGTGCTGGCCTTGGCAGTGCTGGGGAACACTCGGACTTGATTTTAGAGGGCTCTTCCAGCCTAATGATTGCAGATTCTGTAACTCCAGCTGCACAAAACCAAAGAGCAGGATACACACAGAGTGCTATCAGCAACACAAACTGGGGAAGAGCCGTGTTTACGTTTTGGAGAGCTCTGGCTGAGAAAATTCCGGTTACAAGGACAGAAACCTCCCACATTTCATTTCCCTCTGGGAGCGCAGCACCCCCACCTTGTCCGAGGCCTCGGAGGCCAGCAGGTTGGTGGCCAGGGTCTGCAGCTTCTGGTGGGCCACGTTCTTGAGGGCGGCCAGGCTGCGGCGGGTCATGGCCTGCTTCAGGTTGACGGCGGGGTGGCTGAGCGCGTCCACGGCGGCCGGCACGGCCTCGTCGCAGGCGCTGAGGATCTCCACGGCCGTGATGCCCATCACGCAGCGGTCCAGCGCCCCTGCGGCGGGGACAGGCACAGCTCAGCGCCCCCGTGGCACGGGGCTGCGACACCCAACTGCCGCGCTGAACGAACGCTCGCGGAAGGAGGGGGTTTTCCCCGCGTTTCCGTGAGGGTCGCAAACCAACGCCCCCGAGCTCACCGGTGTCCATCTGCCAGACGTAGACGGAGCCGTCGGAGCAGCCCACCACCAGGTAGTCATCGGACGGCCTCCACTTGATCACCTGGATTGGGAACAGGTGGCGGGATGCCAGCATGATGCACTTCTTCTCCCTCAGACTCAGCAGACCCACGGAGTGATCACTGGCAACAGAGCAAACACAGTGCTGGACTCTGGCCTAATGAAGGAAAAAAGAGAAAAAGCTTAATCACAATGCAGAGCTGGTATTATTAAAAACCTTTTCGCTGGGCCGAGCAGGGTGACCAAAAGCCTCTTTAATGCACAAAACTCAGGCACCTGCACCCATGTTCAAACTCGCTGAGGTCACTGGGAACAGAAATTCCCTTTAATCCACCCTTTGCACATCACAAAGAGAAAATGGGTATTAAACCCCATTTTGCTAAGCAAACCCCAGAGTTTTCAATCAATGACTTTGTCAACCAATGAGCTAAGTTTCAAAAGGCAGAATTGTCTCTAAACCCTATTTTAATAGGTTTAATAAGTCGGGTCAGTGACAGATCCCCAGCATTCCTTGCTGCATTCCCATTCTCAAGGAGCACTGAGGCACTGCACGGGTTATCCCTGACAACTTACACTGCAGTTTTCCGGTGGAACGAGCAGCTGGGTGATTTCTCCGCCGTGGACACAGAAGATATGTTTCATCTCTCCCGAGAAGATATCCCAGATGATGACGGAGAAATCCACCCCGCCTGAGATCAGGTACCTCTGGTCGTAGCGGGAGGACACCTGGTGAGGGTACAGCAGACACGTCACCTTGTTCCGGTGCCCACGGAGCGTCCGGTGCGGGGGCCAGCCTGGGCAGCGGGGGCAAAAGCACAGAAAAAGAGGGGAAAAACAGAAATTCAACAGCCAATCGACTCCCAAGTGTTTGTTCTGCAATGCAGAGCCACAAACTATGAAGATAACGTTACACAGAGCCCACGCATCCAACAGCAGCCCAAGCACAACGCACGGATCCCACCAGGAACCCTGGCAGGTTTTTCCCACTGAGACTTCTACTGGCGTGTCAGCACGCAGCACTGCAGTGCCAGGAACAATCCTGGACAGACAGGAGATGCTCGCTTACCTTATCTTTGCCCCTGCATCCCAAAACCCCCGCAGAAATACCCAAATTGAGCTCACTGGGTCACTGCCGGCACAGAAAGGTGCAGCAGATTTCTGCGCTTCCTGCTGCTCCCTGTGCCATACCTTGGTGCCCCCCTCAGCAGCTGCACCGTGGCAGCAGGTTTCCGTGTTCCCACCCGTTAAATGGACTTCTGGGCGCAGCATGTGCTCGCCCTGCAGCAGCTGCACCGTGGCAGCAGGTTTCCGTGTTCCCACCCGTGCATGCCGTACCTCGGCGCAGCATGTGCTCGCCCTGCAGCAGCTGCACCGTGGCAGCAGGTTTCCGTGTTCCCACCCGTGCATGCCGTACCTCGGCGCAGCACGTGCTCGCCCTGCAGCAGCTGCACCGTGGCAGCAGATTGCTGAGTTCCCACCCGTGCATGCCATGCCGTACCTCGGCGCAGCATGTGCTCGCCCTGCAGCAGCTGCACGATGGCGGTCTGCGTGGCCGGCACGATGACGATGCTGCCGTCCTCGCGGCCGCACACCAGGCGCCCGTGGGCCGGCATGTAGACGCTGGCGGTGACGCGCAGCGGCTCGCTGGCGTTGGCCACCATGCTCAGCTGGTCGATGATCCCCGCGGGCCGCGGGCTCAGCTGGTCAAAGGCCTCCTGCAGCGACCTGGACGTGGTTGTCTGCAGGCCTGGGAAAGGAGAAAGGGGAAACACCTGGGCTGAGCCGGGAGGATCTGAGGATCCCGCGCCTAGCGGGAGGCGCTGGCAGCTGGAATTGGATGTTTAAGGTCGCCCCAACCCACGGAGGGATTCTCTACTGGGAATGAAGTCACTACAAGAATATCTGATAAGATGAAGGTACCACAACTCCTGCAAGGAGGTAACAGTTAAACTCCACGATCCGTGGGAGAACCAGCACGGCTTTATCAGCACAAACACACAAAGATCTGGCCGTTAATTAGGTACCTTTTGCACCCTCCTGCTGGTCAAGGGCGTCGGGCACGCTCCAAATGCACAGCCTCCCCGAGGAGTCCCCCTGGATTAGGAGCCTGTAGGAAAACTCTCTCTGGCCACAGAAGAAGCGAGTCACTGGAGGACATATTAGGAGCTGTTTGAAAAAGAAGGAACCACCTCAGACCACGCACGAAGCACGTGCTCAGCCCCAAGCTTCCTTCCTCTCAAAGCAGGACAAAACCTGGCACGGCCCCCTAAAAAGCTGCCAAGAAAGAGATTCACCTGTTTCTCTGCTCTGTCCAACACGCTGTACAGCAAAGGTGGAATGGAGTTCTCCACCGCCTTCCCCACGTCCCTGCGGAACGAATCGCTGGCTGGGAGGCAGCTGGGTGCAGGAACAGAGAGAGGAGATCATAAATTTATAATAATAGAATTCCTAGCATTTAAAGAGTGATTCCTACAGTAGGACAGGGGTGCTGCTCCCATCCTCATGCTCTGATGATGGGAGGGCAAGGAAGGAGCTCCCACATGATTTATGTGGGAATATTCAAGATAAAACACTCTCTCTACCCAGAACAGACACACCTGCACACCATGAAGATGTCAGAAAGAAACCCTTTGACTTTACACTTGTCATTTTTAACTTCTCTGATGCCAAATTTTGAATTCATTTTATAGCTTTACATTTCCATGTCTTCCCTTACTGGACTGATATTTCAGTAGTTCTTCAATCACTTCAATTCAAAACAATCAAAAATTAAATAAAGGAGGTATTTTTCTGTTGAGTACCTGGCTGGTAATTTATAGATGAAACTTTGTCCATCCTCTGTCCATACAATCACTTTATCAGCTGCCACAAAGTCCCCACCAGTCCAGGTCTGCTCATTTTCACTGGGCACTGAACATAAGAGGGAATAATCTCCAGCATCAAAGACCTGAGAGGAAAGAGGAACAAAATCTGCTGTTATTAACCAATTAATCACACATTAAAATGCCCAGGCAGCAGCTGATTTTGGGCTCAGTATCACAGAACCATGGAACAGGTTTGGGTTGTTAAAGACCTTAAGGGCCATCTTGCTCCAAACCTGCGCCACGGGCAGAGATTTGGATTCAATATCCAGAAATACGTGAAATACATGAGTATTTACATTAAAAACACGCATATTTCAATGCAGAGGTAGGCTGAAGAGACTTGGAGCACCTTCACCTGGATGTTCTCATGTGGTTCAGTGGAGGCCCAGGGGTCGTGCCTTACCCTCCAGTACTTGGAGCACACGACGAGGAGCGAGCGCTGCGTGAAGGCGCAGAAGGAAATGCTCTGGCAGTTCTCGCAGTAGATGGGCTTGGACTCCTCCTCGAACACCGGGGCGGTGTCCTGAGCAAGCAGAAAGAGCGCTCAGCAACTTAAATCACTAAAGGAAAATTCAGTAAGTTATTTTCCACTGGCAAAGAGGAAAATATCAGGAGCAGACTATCAGGAACCCCACGGGAAGGGTCACGAATCCAGCAGCCTGTGCCTACCTGCATCCGACTGACTTCCGAGGTGATGATCCAGACTTTCAGGATGCCAGTCACGGACACAGCCACGACAGTGTCCTCTGGGAAACACAAAATGAGCCTGGGGCACAAAGAGCTCCTCACCCGTGCACATCTGAGCGCAAACGAAACCCCGAGAGCTCATTTCCAGTTGTCCCAGCAATTTATTTGTTGTGGGGATAAGAGCCGAGCTTTCCCACCCCAGGATTTTGGGAATGCCCAGTTGCTGAGCCCTGACACAAGAGAGAAGTCCTTTAGTCAGGCTTTTCTCCTCAGTGCTCCCCAAACCTCTCAGGAATTCCAATCTCCAGGACAGGAACAGCCCAACACGACACTTGTCTGCCAGAAACTGAATTAGGACGGGGCTTGGAGCAGCCCGGGACAGAGGAAGGTGTCCCTACCACCAGAAACAATCACCTTGTGTCCTGTTGGAGCGGATGATGGCCATGGAGCTGATCCAGTCAGGAGAGATCTTGGATATCAGAGAGTAAAGAACCTCCAGGCTGGTAGCATCCACGACCAGAATTTCAGGATAGTGCCCGTGGCACAGGAGCCTCCCTTCGCGCTGCGTGCCGACTGTGAACTGATAGAACTGCAGAGATGGGAGCAAACCCGGGTCAGATCCCGTGCAGGACAGGGATGAAATCACGTCCCAGCCCCGCTGTGCTGCCTGCAGAGGACGCTGCCCGCCCCGGCACCGCTCCCGGCCTCACCTGGATGCCCGTGTGCGCGCAGGCCAGCTTGGTGAACTCGATGCAGCGCCCGTCGTTCACATCCCACAGGCACATCTCGCTGAAACACAGGGAAAACAGCCGGCTTCCAGCGCTCCGAACCCCTCACGCCCGGGGGAGCTTCACTGGAACCGTTGGTTAGGGATTGGGTCAAGTGTAGGTACAGAAACTCAAAAGCAACCCGGCTTTCCAGTCCTCCGAAATCCACACAAGGGTAAATCACAGAACCTGCAGCACTTCAAGTGACTTTTTCATTTAAAACTTCAGATTTCATCAGAACAGAATCTGTGAGGTGATTTCTCCCTTCCATCAGACAGATAAATTTCTGAGGAAAAACCACGTTTTGGTTTTAAATCCGATGGGAGGAGATTACTTAGTCCTGAAATCAGCCCAAGGTGGAAATTCTAAGAATTTTGACACATTCTCCCCTCAAAATTCCTTGCTAAAAGGTTATTTAGGCAAATAATTCCTTAGCTTTTCTGGATAAAAAAATCTCTATCAATTGCACAAGAAATCCTTCCTGTTTCTACCACTTAACTGCTGCTCTCTGATTAATAAATAAAACCAATCAAAAAGTAAAATGTATTCGCCGAGGAATTTTCTCTTGAGGATAAAAATCAAACACAGCGTTGAATATATGGAGAAACTGGGCATAAATTCCCATTACTGCAGTTCTGCATGTAATAAACACTTAGAAACTCACCCACTCTCTGATGCACTCACTATATATTGCTTTTCACTGGAAGCTGAGGCCTTGGACAAACAAGTAACTGAGGCTGTATGACCAAAGAGCAGAGCTCTGGGATTGATCTGGGAGCAGGAAAAGAAAACAGGGAGCCAAAATCAGGCAGATGACCAGAATATCCATCTCCCAGCTTTCTACATTCATGCATTAATATGTGCACACAGGTTTAATTAACACAGCAGTGGATGGATCATCTTGGAAGACTTTCTGCTTCACACAGGAATAAGAATTTTTGGGGAAAAAGCATTTTGCACATTCCTCTCAATATTTACAAATCAGGAGCTGAATTTGGCTCAATTCAATTTAAACTGAATGAAAAAGATTGTGCAGCACATTAAGAGCTTTCCCCAGCTGAGTTCCCATAAATCCACAAATAAGGGGGGACCTCAGAGCCCCTTCCAGCGCCAAAAGGGAGAGCTGGAGAGGGACTGGGACAGGGTGCCAGGAAAAGGGGAATGGCTCCCCGCTGCCAGATGGGATATTGGGAAGGAACTCCTTTTCACAGCACAACATTAAACAGCTCAACCACAAAACAACTGCTTTAGAGTAGCTCCAAGAAATCGGATTGAGTTAAAAAAGCTTCCCACAGGAGCAGCAAGGCAGCCTTTGGGCAGGATGGAGCAGCCACCCAAGCACGGGGAGAGGCAGGACAGCCGAGGGGGAACGGTGCATCCATTACCTGCAGGTCAGGAGCCAGGTCCCAGAGGCAGATCTGCCCGTCGTGGCAGCCGGTGACGATGACGGAGCCATCCACGAGCAGCAGGGAGGACACGCAGTGGGTGGGGGCACGCCGGCCCCACAGCACGATGGGCAGCACCAGGCTGTTCCCGGCCATGGCCACCGAGCGCCTGCAACCCCAACAGCGCAGCATCAGACACGACACGGCCTGCTCCCCTCCCGCATGCTTTTGCCATCTTTTCCCCTCATGTTTCTACCATCTTGTCCCGTCCTGTCTCTGCCGTTCTGGCCCCTCATGGTTCCCGCTCTTTTCCCCTCATGCTTTTGCCGTCTTTTCCCCTCATGTTTCTACCATCTTGTCCCCTCCTGTCTCTGCCGTTCTGTCCCCTCATGGTTCCTGCTCTTTTCCCCTCATGTTTCCTACTCTTTTCCCCTCATGCTTTTGCCATCTTTTCCCCTCATGTTGCTAACATGAAACATGTTTCCCCTCATGTTTCATCTTGTCCCGTCCTGTCTCTGCCGTTCTGGCCCCTCATGGTTCCCGCTCTTTCCCCCTCATGTTTCCTGCCATTTTTCCCTCATGTTTGTTCCCTGCTCTTTTCCCCTCACGTTTTTGCCGTCTTTCCCCCTCATGTTTCTACCACCTTGTCCCCTCCGGTCTCTGCCGTTCTGTCCCCTCACGGCTCCCGCCATTTTCCCCTCACATTTGGGAGGTCCCAGGATGCAGCAGATGGGGTGCAGCAGACGGACAGACAGACACAACCCCCAGGTATGAAGCAACGGTGCTGTTTATTTACATTATGGGGGTGGGAGGGAAGGCTGCAGTCTCCTAAAATCCAAAATATTATCCTTCAAACCAAGAGGGAGGGGAGTAAAAGGCGGGGGCCAAACAGCACATCCCTGTGCACACAAGGATTTCTGCCCAAATCCCTCTTTTTAGAGTAATTGTGAGGTTACAAATGTTGTAAGCCCTGAGGCTGAAGCAGTTTTTATACCCCTGATGTTATGATGTCCCTGCTACATGGACATATTCATGTTGGAATATGGAATATCCTGCCTTAGGTGAAATCAGCCTGGTATAATCCACTGATAAACTGGATCCTGGCCACTCTCCAGCAGGAAATAGGTCCAGCACTATCTTTACAGCAACCTTTTGGATATTCTGAACATATTGACACAAAAAACACAGTGGAATTTCAATTGTCCCTGGGCCAAAAAGGTCTCAATGACTGGGAATAGAAACTCAAGTTGTGGCAATAAAACCCACTTGAATTTGCACAAGATTTAAACCTCACAACAACCCTCTGTTTGTGGTAGCAACATTCCCTGCTTGCCCAGCAGTCCCATGCTTTTAGAACTGAGGTTTTCTTATCGGTGAAAAGGTCGTGTTAAATTAATAACCAAACACTCCTTGTGGATTATCTTGTGGAGGTTTATGCTCTGAACTCACCCCAGCTCAAAGCAGAGCTCTGATTTAGAGGAGCGTGAACACAACAAAACTGGCAGGATTCATGGAAGAACTGTTTTAAAATACGTGAGGTTTTTTATAGCTATATACACCTTCTTCTACCTTGAGTTTTCACAGGTCTGTAAAAGTGTTTCACAGCACTTCAGAGGGAATAAATCTGAATTACGATAGGAAAATAAAGGTCACTCCAATCTGGACACTTCCCTGCGCCAGCAACCCAATCTATTCCAACAGAAATCCCTGTCACGTCTCATCCGTGTGAAAAACCACAGGAACTGTTCCTCCATTTGAGCGCTGCCACCCTCTGCACAGAGAACTGTGTCCGTGGAAAAAAGGGGGAAGGGAGGGCAGGGTAATAATGAATGGCTAAGGATTACACGCGGCTCCCGGGAGGCTCCCGACAAGTCAGGGATCAATTGTGGGCTTTCCACAAAATCCACAGCACAAAATCACTAATATCACATCAAAATGACCCTTCCCAGCGCTGCAGCTCATCTCTGGCAGCCCAGCGGTCCATCTTCGTTAAAAGCTATTTAATTAAGAGCTCGAATGTAATGATCGGGATCAATAAAGACCAAAAATGCAGTCTTTCTGCACACTGCAAACCACACCTGGCCCTGCAGAGTTAATTGTTATGCAATGCCGGATCAATTGCTCTGTCTGGACCATCACAACACAGAAAGAGAAATGAATTCAGCATTTTAAACAAGCAAAGAGCTACAATTAAACCAGGGAAATCATCATAAAAACGGAATAAAGTGTCCAGATGCGACAGACCAAAATGCAAATATCAACGACAAGAACAAAACCACCCACAGCCAACAGAAATACCCACTCAATTTTTGTGAGGAAACAAACCCAAAAAATGACTAAAGCAGAGCTGAAAAACACCAATGAGCAACACAAAAATCCCCTCCCACTCCCCTGCTGTCCTACTGCTCCCAGCTCAGGGAACAAGCCAAGTGTTCCCGTGTCACCGGGCTGTCAAAAACAGCTGCATTTTTTAATAAACACAGAAAGTCCCCTGCTGGGGCCCAGAATTGCTGCATTTAGAGGCACTTGTGAACACTTCCGAACGCACCCCGCTCTGAATAAAGGGAATTTTCAGGAGGATATTACAACAAACAAGAGAATAAGCACACAATAACTCCAAGAGATCCCAGATTTTCCATGCACAAACCACGTTATCAACCCCCTGCCGGTCCCGTTTCTGACCCAGTGCTCGGAATATTTCATGGCAAGGCTCTGGGAGAGAGAGGAAAAAGAAAAACTACCTCTTTCCTTCTAGTTTTTGACTGTGGCGGCGCAAGGCCTTCATAAAAAACTTCCTTTTCAGGAAAAGCCACATTTTCATTCCCCGGGAATTTGGATTCCAGAGCTCAGCCCCAGCACGCGCCAACCGCAGCCCCTGCCAGCACCAAAATCCTTTTTTGTCCGAAAACAATCAATAATTCCGTTTTTTGACATCAGTGATGACAAAGTACAGGAGCAAATCAGCACTGGGCCCAAAAGCGGGCAGGGCAGAACCAGGATTTTAAAAACATTTGAACAGAAAGCAATTCTTTAAAAGAGGAAACGAACCAAAAAATGTTAAATAACGTGTTAACCTGCCACAACAATCCAGTGACTCTTTGAACTGCTCTGCTTGAAGGTGGGATTTAGGCCCATTTAATAATCCCGGATCAATTCCTATTTCAGTAAAGCCACTAAACTGATTTTTCAAGCACAAGGTATTAAACGCTGAATCCCAGATTCAACCAAACCCCCTTTTCAAGCTGTCTGCCCAGAAATCCACCACGTGGGTTTTTACAGCCAGAAAAGCCCCCAGACACAACAAATCCACGGAGGAAGAGGCAAAACAAAAGTAACTCTTCCCAAACACCTGTACTTCCACTAAGGAAAGGATTAATCTCAGGATACGTGTGCGCACTCCAGTAATCTGCCCCCTAAATAGCACTAAATAGTGTGATATAGCTCTGAATGGGCGATTTATGCATGTTAGGAAAATGTCATTTTAAATTTAATGACAGATTACACGTTGTAGTTGTTCCTCAGGGATGGGGAAAAGGGACCGTGGAGGGAGGGAGGGAGGGAGAATCCAATGAGAACACCTTCCCTGGGTGTGCAGGAGCTTCCAAACCTACACGGGGAACAAAACACTAATTTGGCACTGGACTTAATTAACGCCTTGCAGCGCACTCCAGTAATCTGCCCCCTAAATAGCACTAAATAGTGTGATATAGCTCTGAATGGGCGATTTATGCATGTTAGGAAAATGTCATTTTAAATTTAATGACAGATTACACGTTCTAGTTGTTCCTCAGGGATGGGGAAAAGGGACCGTGGAGGGAGGGAGGGAGGGAGGGAGAATACAATAACACCTTCCCTGGGTGTGCAGGAGCTTCCAAACCTACACGGGGAACAAAACACTAATTTGGCACTGGACTTAATTAACGCCTTGCAGGTTTTCCCGGTGCTCCGTTTGATGACACGCTGAAGCCACGGTCATTTTTCCTGTCACAAAGGACAGTTATCCAAAGCAAACCCCATCCCTGGGTGCCAAGAGCACCGCGGCTGGCGCAGGAAAGGGAAATAAAGCGGGGGAAGGCTGCGAGCTTCCACAGGATCGGCATTAAAAGCGGTTTAAGCCGCCCAGAGGATTCATTCCTGCGAGGAGCCTCTCGCTAGGCAAGGCTCCGCTAGCAGCCATCCTTTAATAAGCCGCTGCTCGTTCTGAGGTGAGCCCTGACGGAACTCCAAAGCCCATCCCGCTCCGTTACCGGGGCTCCCTGGGCCGAGTCTCGGTCCCGGAGCGCCCGGCTTCCCCGCGCCGCCCGCTGCCGCAGCCTCCTCAGCGCTGCCGGCGCGGATGCTGCGGGGCCTGCGGACAGCTGGCAGCCGGCCGCTCTCCCGCCCCGCTCCCCGGTCGCACCTGTTCGCTGCCGGTGCCGGTGGCTTTCCCGGCCCTCACGTGTCCCGGGCGCCGCGGCCCCGCCGCGCTCCGTGCGGCAGCGGCCGGATGACACCGCGTCCCGCGACACTGGCGCAAAGCGCCGGCCGGCGCGCTTGACGGCAAGGTGCCGCCGCCGTGGCAACTGCTGGGTGACGCGCGAGGAACCGGTGATTACTTGCTTAAAAAAAATTAATATTTCTTTAGCGATATCAATTAATTCATTGATTTATTTATTCATTAGCGATTACTGCGAGGCTTTTGAATTACAGCAGGCGAGAGTAGGATGCTGGGGATATTGCCGGTGTTTAGCAGGAAAAGCGGAATTATGAGACCTCTTGAAGCGACATTGTGTTGTGTTCTAAAGTACGTTGGGCAGTTGTCAGGAACGACGCTGCAAATGTGCTTAGAGAAAGCCCCGAGTTTCATTTTGGTTTTATTTTGTGGTTATTGCAAGCACTTATCTCTTATTTGCCCCCTTTCGGCTTCAGCGTTTATTTCACAATTTTCCGTATGTCGACAGCGTGGCTTTATTAAAAAAACACAATTTAAGTAAGGTGACAAAGTTTGACATCAGTTCTGCCTGCAAGACAGAACGGTCATCCCCATAACGTCGCAAAAAAAACGAATTAATGACGAAACCAGTACTAAATTTTTATGTTGATATTTAAAGCCGCGTCTCCCCTCACACAATTCCCGCGCTTGCCCGTACCCAAAATGGCCGCCGGGGGGCGTCGCTCCCTCACGGCCTGCCCGTACCCAAAATGGCCGCCGGGGGGCGTCGCTCCCTCACGGCCTGCCCGTACTCAAAATGGCCGCCGGGGGGCGTCGCGCCCTCACGGCCTGCCCGTTCCCAAAATGGCCGCCGGCGGCATCCCTGCCCGTTCGCAAGATGGCGGCCGGCGGCGTCACCGCTGCCCTCGCTGCCCTGGCCCAAGATGGCGGGCGGGCGGGAGCGGAGCGGGGCGGCCGCGCGTGCGCCCGTGCCAGCGGTGCATGCCGGGCGTGCCGCCCGCCGTGACGCTGCACATCGCACCCGGCACCGCCACCGGGGCCCGCGGCCATGGCGGGCGTGAAGGTGATCGCCAACGACACGGAGTTCCAGCCCGAGCTGAGCGCCGCCGGCTCCCGCCTGGCCGTGGTGAAGTTCACCATGAGGGGGTGAGTGAGGGCGGGACGCGCGCCCGTCCCGCCTCAGGCTGCCGGGAAGGGCTCCGCTGCTCCCACGTTTGTGCTCGGGGCTCCCCGGCGCGGTTTGCAGCGTGAGGGGCGCTCCGGAACGCCTCAGTGCGGTCTCAGCACCGGCGCCTTTACAAGTTCCGTGATTTTTTAACACCGCGTTCCCAGATCCTGCGAGAAATTCCCGTTTTTGCCGCCGAACCCGCTGCCCGCGGAGCCGCCAGCCCTCGGGCGCTCCGAGGGATTTAAAGGCAGGAAACTGACGGCAACAAGGCACGGACAGCACTAAAAACACCCCAAAACTTGGAACGACATCTTTTACCCCACAAAACTTGGCTGGATCCGCACCCCATTTGCCCGGGACAAGCAGATTATCCCTTTTTCCCATTTCACCAGGGAGGTGCGACTGTGGTGAAATCGGGATGGATTTGTCACCAAATAAACCTTAATTTGGGAATTTGGGGAGAATACTGTTAATCTCGGGGGTCTGGGGGTTCGTAGGGCACCTCATTATTTTTTGGCTGCTGCCTCTTAGTTCTGGGTGGTTTTTTTGTACATCGGGGTTCTTTATTCCACTTTTTGTTTCCCTTTACCACAGAGAAACTCCCTTTACAGGAATTGGTGCAGCTGAGCACTTCCTACACTTTTGCTGACGCAGAATAAATAAAAAACACACATTTTCTTCCAAGGTGATGCAATCAAATCAAAAGAAACCAACTCTGTCCTCCCAGGGCCGAATAAATATGGGAATACCTGGTTACAGGTGTAAACGAGATTTATTGTAGGAGGAATTTTCTGATCCCTGAAGCTTTGATACGTGTTGACCATTAAATATTAAAGTGGCTGCAAATAAAGACAATAAATTGCAGGTTGCCAAATGTCATCTTTCCAGCTGGCAGCCAGCTGGAGAGGCTGTTGTTACAGCAGGATATGAGGAACGCTCCAGTTCCACCTGGGGCAGGCACTGGACAAAAAAGCAGAAGTGGAATGGAGCGGAGGTGTCGCTTTTCCCACAGGTGCGGCCCTTGCCTGCGGATCGCGCCCGCCTTCAGCGCCCTGAGTAACAAATACCCGCAGGCAGCCTTCCTGGAGGTGGACGTGCACCAGTGCCAGGTGCGTGCCCGCTGCCCGCCTGGCCGGGAGGAACGGGATCGGGAAGGGCCCCAGAGGAGCCGTCTGGGGGGAGAAACGGGGATGGGGAGTGGGGAATGGGGAATGGGGAACGGGAACGGGGAAGGGCCCCAGAGGTGCCCTGTCTGGGGAGGGTGGGCAGGAGAGCCAGGGAATGGGGAACGGGGAACGGGGAAGGGCCCCAGAGGTGCCCTGCCTGGGGGGCAGAAACAGGGAATGGGGAATGGGGAATGGGGAATGGATCCAGTGGTGCCCTGCCTGGGGAGGAGAAACGGGAATGGGGAATGGGGAAAGGCTCCAGCAGTGTCCATGCCTCTCCCTGTGCCTGCTGCAGCACAGGAGCCCTGACAGTGACTTCTCCCAAACTGAAAGAACAAAATCCCTCCTGGGAGGAAATATTCCTGCAGTGTAAAAGCACAGGAACTCATTAATTCGTTGATTCTCGGCCCTGCTGCCTGTGTTGCTGAAATAATACTTTAGATGTTGCAGACAGCGCTAGTGGGAATTAAATAGAGCCTTTCCAACCAAATACTTGAAGTCAGAAGGCAAAGATAAGTCAGTGGGTTTCTGGTGGGGCTGGGTGGCTCCCAGTGTGACTAAAGCACTGATGGGGTCTCGTGTCTGCTGCCAGGGCACGGCTGCCACCAACAACATCTCAGCAACGCCCACGTTCCTGTTCTTCCGCAACAAAGTGCGCATCGACCAGTACCAGGGAGCAGATGCCGTGGGCTTGGAGGACAAAATCAAACAGCACCTGGAGAACGATCCTGGCAACAGCGAAGACACAGACATCCCCAAAGGATACGTGAGTATCTCCCCAGAGCTTCACTGGAGTGCCTGTGCGGCTCAGGTTTCAAATGTGCTTGAAGTCAAATAATTGGATTTTAGGCAAAGCTGCCCAAGAAAATCGCTTGTCTGGGCTTTCTTTTCCAGAAGAAATGTCAATATTGACATATACAGGTTTTCTAAGAATAATGAATGTCCCTAGTGATTCAAATGAATTTTGTGTGCCACACGTGGCTGTCCCAGCTGTGAGCAGCTGTGCTCTCTGTCCCCAGATGGATCTGCTGCCCTTCATCAACAAGGCTGGCTGCGAGTGCCTCAACGAGAGCGACGAGCACGGCTTCGAGAACTGTCTGCGCAAGGACTCCTCCTACCTGGAGTCCGACTGTGACGAGCAGGTGAGGTGTGCTGGGAGCTGCAGGGAGCTGCAGGAGCCCTGGGCTGGGAGCTGCAGGAATTCTGTGCTGGGAGCTGCAGGAGCCCCGTGCTGGGAGCTGCAGGAGCCCCGGGCTGGGAGCTGCAGGAACCCCGGGCTGGGAGCTGCAGGGAGCTGCAGGAGCCCCGGGCTGGGAGCTGCAGGAACCCCGGGCTGGGAGCTGCAGGAACTCTGTGCTGGGAGCTGCAGGGAGCTGCAGGAGCCCTGGGCTGGGAGCTGCAGGAACCCCAGGCTGGGAGCTGCAGGGAGCTGCAGGAGCCCCGAGCTGGGAGCTGCAGGAAACATGGGCTGGGAGCTGCAGGGAGCTGCAGGAACCCCGGGCTGGGAGCTGCAGGAACCCCGGGCTACAAAGCTTTCCACACTGAGACTGCCCAGGCACGGAGCTTTTGCTGGGCAATAAAGAGCCAGAACGTGTGGAACAGGGGAAAGTGAGCCCAGCATTTTATTCCAGAGCTGCCTTATCCCTGTTTCCTGTGCTGGTTGGTTCCCAGTGAAGAACCAGTGTGTAACTGTGGTTTTTCCCTCCTTATCCCTGTTTCCTGTGCTGGTTGGTTCCCAGTGAAGAACCAGTGTGTAACTGTGGTTTTTCCCTCCACAGCTGCTCATCACTGTAGCTTTCAGTCAGCCTGTCAAGCTTTACTCTATGAAACTTCAGGGGCCAGACAACGGTGAGTGGTGAGGGTGGTGGAATTATTTATTATTGACTGATGTTTGATGCACAAATCAAAGTATTTATTATTGATTGATACACAGGGTATTTCTTTTAGTTTGATACACACATAGAAGTATTTACAGTTTGGTAGCCTGCCAAGAGAGACCCCTGGATGTAATTCCACTGTGCAGTGCCACAATTTCCTCGAGCCCCTCCCTGGGCACTGCAGTGCTCACTTCCCTCTGAGGAATTCATTCCGTGCTCACTTCCCTCTGTCCCCAGGGCAAGGGCCATTCCTGAGGAATTCATTCCGTGCTCACTTCCCTCTGTCCCCAGGGCAAGGCCCGAAGTACATCAAGATCTTCATCAACCTGCCCCGCTCCATGGACTTCGAGGAGGCGGAGCGCAGCGAGCCCACGCAGGCCCTGCAGCTGGGCCCCGAGGACATCAGGGAGGACGGCATCATCCAGCTGCGCTACGTGAAATTCCAGAATGTCAACAGTGTCACCGTGAGTCCTGCTCCTGCTGGCATCCAGCAGAGCTGGCGCTGCCCGCGTCCCGTGTTTGCTGGATGTGGGGAGGGGGAGCTGCCAAATCCCGGCTGGGGGCTTTGCCAGGGGAACGGCAGCGCTCTTGAATCATTCTTGAAATGAAGGGGACAAAAGCTTTCCTTTGGTCAGTTGGCACATTTGTGTGCAGGGATGAAATGCCAGTCCTGCTTTTGGCTTTTTTCCCTCCGCAGTTGTTCGTGCAGTCCAACCACGGCGACGAAGAGACGACGAGAATCACGTATTTCACGTTTATTGGCACTCCAGTGCAGGCCACCAACATGAACGACTTCAAACGGGTGAGTCCCTGGGTGCCTCTGTCCTGGGCTTTCTGCAAGGTTTTCATCATCACCTC